TTTATTGAACCTCACCGCCTTTGCGAAGAATTCCATTCAATTGGTTGTTCTACAATGATCCATAGAGTTGTGATTTGGTCTATACACGATCTATCCTTACGGGATCCTGCCTGTTGGTCGCGAAGTCAGGCGTCTACGGAGTCCTTCATTCTGTTTAACAATATTCTGTTGAAGACTTTTCCTGGTATTGAAAGAAGAATGATTCCCCTGTAGTTGTCACAGTTGCTGAGATCGCCTTTCTTTGGTATTTTGACCAGAAGTCCTTCTTTCCAGTCTGTTGGTACCTGTTCCTCATCCCAAATCTTTCTGAAGAGAATGTGGAGTATCCGTGTAGTTACTGCCACGTCTGGTTTCAGTGCCTCTGCTGGAATGTTGTCTGGTCCTGCTGCTTTGCCACTCTTGATTTGTCTTATGGCCGTGCTGATTTCTTCAATTGTTGGTGGGCCAACATTGACTGGGAGGTCCGTGGGTGCTGCTTCGATGTTGGGTGGGTTCAGTGGGGCTGGTCGATTCAAGAGTTCTTTGAAATGTTCTACCAACCTGTTTCGTTGTTCTGCAATGTTGGTGATTACCTTGCCTTCCTTGCTTTTCACTGGTCGTTCTGGTTTACGGTGATTTCCAGAGAGTTTCTTTGTTGTTTCATACAGTTGTCTCATGTTTCCTTCTCTGGCAGCCTTTTCCGCCGTCAATGTCAAATCCTCCACATATTTACGTTTGTCAGTTCTGATGCTCCTCTTCACTTGCTTGTTTACTTCTGTGTATTCAGCCTGTGCCTTGACTTTTTCTGCTCTTGTTCGACTGGTATTGATTGCTGCTTTCTTGTTCCTCCTTTCTTGAATCTTATCCAGTGTATCGAACGTGATCCAATCCTTGTAATGGTGCTTCTTTTGGCCCAGAACCTCATGACATGTTGAAGTGATTGCTTCTTTTATCTCTTTCCAGTTGCTCTCCATAGTAGTTCCTTCTCCATTGAGTAGATCATGAAAGGCTTGGAACTTATTGCTGAGGGTTATCTTGAATTTATTGAGTTTGTCATTATCCCGAAGAAGAGCCGTATTAAACTTTTGTGATGTTGTCCTCCCCGTTGTCCAGTGCCTCCTGAGTTTCAATTTCATCTTGGCGACCAGCAAGTGATGATCTGATGCTATATCAGCTCCTCTTTTGGTTACCACGTCCTCCATCGTCCTCCTGAACGTTTTGTTAATGCAGATATGGTCTTGTCCACTACTTCAATAATATTTTCTTCAGTTTGTGAACTATTGTTGCGACGAATAATTGGTTTCTAATAATTACCCACTGATGTTTTTAATGCTTCATGTTCAAGAGATATTCTTCGTCAGAGTAATCGTTTTGGAAGATGGACTGAATTCGATAGTGCTTAATGAATTCCAAAACGTAGTATAAAATAATTTTTCTCTTCTCAGATTACCCATACTCCTTACATTCACACTAAATGTAAATTGCTTTTTGATCAATTCTACTTTGTAGATATTCGTTATTTCAGTTCGTAATAACTGATCATTTTGGTCGGGGCGTCCTGTTGTGTTTGCCTGAAAGCAAAGAGAATTACGAGCAGATGTAATCTGGATCGTGAATAAATTGGACAGCCACGATTCCAAACCAATGTTGCACATAGACTTCAGTGCTCTGAAGTAATAAATGGCGTGTGAACTAATCGTTGGTCATCGGCTACCATGGGACTGCATCTCCTGACGTTGCTACACTTTGTACCAATGTCCATGTATTTTAATGACAAAATGATAGTAAATAATAATAACACTACCCAAACGAAGTAAACAGTAAGTACAGATTCAACGAAGTCAATTTTTACTTAAGAATCATCAATAAGTAGGTAAGACTATAGTTTCTCTAACGCATGTCTTTGTATAGTATTCTTTACAACAGAAAATATAGATCAGAATATAACAAAGTGTGGAAATGTGACAGGAAGTGTCTACCATAAGAAGTTCTTTGTAGTAGTATTCCTTACTTAACTATATATCCAACTTATAAACTGATTTTTCTGCATCAAATGTTGCTCCTCCTTTACCAGTAGTTTCGATGAACCAATAAACTTTTTTCCAATTTTTATTTTCATATTCTTCGCAGTTTCATTGGGAGATATAACAGTAGTCTCAAAGGTATAACTGTTTGTAAAAAATAAAACTAACTAATTGTTTGCTCTATAATTACCCGTTTTGTTACGGAAACTTGTAATACCACAATGTAGAAGTTTTGCTAGAACGTTGAGTTGTATATACTGGTTTCTTCACTGGCAGTATATTCGGATAGATACTTTTAATGGTACTGTTTCCTAACCATGCGGTCTTCAGAGCCAAGCATATAATGGTTGAAAAGATGTATATTCGACATGTATTACTTGGAGAAGGTCGACAATGGTGAACGAGGAGACATTCATTCAATCGCGTGGCATGGCTCAGCCTTGCATACGTGCTCATTATGTGTAACTTATTACTATTCACGTTAAATAAACTATTCTATCCCCAGCCCAAATGTAATTTTCAGAAGTATCAAGCATGATTGTTAATTGTCACTATACGATGAGTCAGTGTAGACAGTGGTGTGACTTCCACGTAAGATCTTACAGATCAAGTAATCATATCACAAAAATTCACCGTTTTGGGATTAGGTCTGGTATCACAGTAGTAACAATACCGAACTAGACTATAATGATACATACTAACAGTATTTATAGTGCAAAAGGCTGAGTACAGTTGTTATAATTATTTTTAAATAATCCATTAAATGAATAAACATGGAAGTAGTCAGTATAAAGCACAGTTATCATCAACTTGCAAATTAGTTCTTCACAGAATCTTCCATATTCAGAAATTTGCCAAGTTGTTCACCGGCATAGACTTGATTATTAGAAAGGTTTGGGCTTTTCAATTAGTTGACATAAGCCATAAGTCGCATATAAAAAAACGTATGGGGACCTTCTCAGCTTAATGCAACTCTGAAAAACAGCAAATCAGTCGTAAGACAAACGATTAAACTTCGTTATCAGTATCGATTTCAAAAAGTAAATGTAATGGCAGCTAACAGAATATGCATATTAGTGTCTTGCAAGCAGTGCTGTTTATTTATTAACCGTCGTAGAATTTCACCTAGTCATTTGGTATTAACAAAAGAACTGAAGGCAGAAAATAAACGGACTCAAAAACGTCAATTAGTAATATAAAATCTGAGAAACATCCATATACAAAGTTCATATTACTATTAGCAATTCACTGTTTACTTACAATAAATACACCATTAGTAGGCATTATTCAGATATTACTCGTTAATATTCATTAGAAATTTGTTTATAATTTGGTCGATGATTGTAAATTCTGTTAACAGAAATTTATTTGTTAACTCTATAACAGACATGTCACAAATTAGTATTAACCATGACATGCTTTAGTTACCATGTTGAAATCAAACACTCAACGTTTCACTTATAAAGAATATATGGCTAATTAATGTTGCACTTACAGTAATGTTGTACGCAATTTCTGTATATGTTCAAAAAGCGGGCAGAAAAGGCTATCAACGTCAATTGTTAATCATATAATTTTTTCCCAGATACGTCACATAATAATATGTCGGTTCAGTCTAAAACGATAATACTTATAATGGATAGAACTATAGTAAGGAAAGACGACCGGACGCCACTACACATAGCAAGCTATCGGAAGAGTGTTTATCAACGACAAACTTGCTGAAACTTCTGGCTGGCCACGTCTTAGGGTCATCACTACCCCACTAAGGTAGGGGTGATCTGTAGTGGTAAATAGATCCCCAAAATAAATAGCTCTGTAAGTCTTCGACATTTGATGCTGATCACATTAGTTTTAATGGACTCATATAGCTGAAGGCGCTCGATGATGCAACCACACCAGATCACGTGTGGGTAAGCCGTGCTCAACACCCCCTGCAATAGCTAGCTAGCCTAAATCCGTCGATTCTAGATATATTGATAACATATCAAATATATTTTCGAACCTCCACGCTTCTGCCTTTTGATTTCGCTTGGTGGGTACGATTCATATCAGGTGTTACTATTTGGGGCGTTTCCGAACTCTAAATACCTGTCGCATCTTCAGAACTATTTATGGCTGTATATTAGCAAGTTATATAATATGCAACCTACATTATATAAGCAACTACCAATATCCATGTTCATCATCACCATAATCAGGGAGGTGAATCAAATGAAAGACCTTTTAGAGCTCACTCTTCCTTAAAACTGTAATTGCGGTCTATTTTTAACTTCATGAATGGTGAATTTTGCTTGCCTGAGTTTGCATTGTTACAAATAACCAGGTTGTGAGCAACAACTACGAAAAACTACTAATAAACTGGAATAAAAGCTACGTAACAAGCACAAACATTACGAAAATTGACATGCGATGGAAAAAATGCTGATAATAGCTTATAAATAACGACATCCAAAGCCCTCGACAACATATGACATGCGTGCGAGAACCCACAGTATGATTTCTTTGCAGTCCCGACTAAGCCTAACGACCCCAAATGACCATGTAAGGCAACGTACTGCTATTATGCAGTTCGCAATTCTTATTTCTGTCTTAATTATTTATTTGTAAAGATAGCTGAGCTCCAGAGCGCACCCGGACACTCATTTAAACTCAGTCCTGAAATATACCTTTAGTTGAGAATTATTGGGATTTATGGGTAAAAAAATCTTTTTACATGCCATAAAACCTTATTTTCATAAATATTCTGTTCGTGGAACTATCCTCTATGTAAAGGTCTTCATGCAACTTCCATCTAGTCCTTTTAAAAGACTTGACTTAACTTTCAAGAACTTGAGCGTCTCACACCAATTTAATTATAATTTAACTACTTTAGAGTTTGACAAATACCTATGTTTTCATCTGAAACTACTTGTGTTAAGGTGTCATTGAACAAGGAATCGCGTTAAGTCAAACTTGTATTCCACTCAACCATTTAAACCATTTATACGCCACATTATGGATTTGGGAGAGACTTATGAAGAAAGTGATAAGTTAACGATTATGCCTCTGTAAGTATTTCACCCATATTCTTACTACAGTCAAATTTTTTATCCCTAAAAGTCTGCCAGTTAAATTGATAATGTCTCTACATAATATCATGTACAATAGTATATACTATTCATAGTAGTAGTTAAAACCATAGTTCTAACTATTTTAATTTTATTTATGCAGGATGCATCCTAAATAAATAAATTCGGCATGCCGAATTAGTGCTCATGTGATTTCTGTGACTAGTGGTTAAAAACTTCAAATGATATGGCTCAGTATCATTCTAAATCGCTCAAGTTCATCCACTATTTTTTTCCTCTTGTATTACAAGCTTCTCGCTTATCTTTATTGATCCGCAAACTTGTACTTCTGAAATTCTATCTTCTATGCCAAGTTTTTCCCATTGACAAAGATAGTGTTGGTACTACTACGCTCATGTAGATGTACTGATATTATGTGACCACCAGCAACTATAAATATACAAGTATTTCTTCATTGGGTAGATTACTTATACTAAAAATCACTGCATTTGGCGATTCCTCAGTTTTCCAGTTGTAATGGTGCATGAAAAATGCGAGAATTATTCCGAAGGAAGTTTACTACGTTTAATATAATAAACGTAGTAAAATTCCAAGCGCAACCAATTATAACTAGTTCGACTTGGACGTATTAGACGAGAAGTGCGCTGTGAGCGAAAGCTTATGTGAATAAATAAACCTCTAAAAGGGAGGGGGTTGTTAGTAAATCGTATTTTTGTACAGATTATCGAGCAACCTTGAGCATTAACCTTAGAGATATTCTGTAGAAATTGTGGGACTTGGTCGGTGAAAACAAAGACATTCAAAGTTTGAGGGAAACTTGGCATTCATTTTGGCAGAACGCAACCATAACTGGGTTAATTCTGAGTTTTGTGCTACATTTACCGAAAAATTTGATGGGATCATCCTAAAATTGATTAATTTTGTCCAAAAGTTTGAAGCTTAAAAACCTAGGCCAGTGCATGTGTCAGGTTTTGCTCTGTCTTTAGTGGATTAGATAGCTCAACTTGCATGAACCAATAGCAATAATGCCAAATATTTCATTGGTTTAACACGAGAACTGCTGATTTAAGTCTGTTTACTTTTGATCGGCTTGGCAGTAGGACTGTTCTTGATGCATTCACTTCTCCATATCAAATATCTTACTTCATATCCCTTGCAGGCTTGAAGAAATGTGGAAGTTTATCTGACTTATAGTCACATATAAGAATTAATATTCCAGTCTCCCTAATATCCGAGGGTAATAAAACATTGCCCTTAGTTTCGCATCTAAATCACTGATAAACGTCCGATTTATTCCGTAACCAAGATACTTATCTGATAGTGTCTTTTAATGTGGATTCATTAACGAGCTTATTTTGTAAACAAAGTGTACAGCATTCATTACAGAACAAACTTGCAGTCCCATTGAGTAGTGTTTTGTGGCCTCCAAATGCCCTGGTATGGCCGATAGTGGGAGAGTTAGCTCCCCCTCACAAAATGATCTCACATGGCCACGTGCATACAATCACTGCCAGGGAAGTCCTGTTCACTGCCTTCTCGCGGCGGCGTTGTTTACAAAATAGAAAGAACGAAAAGCGAATGTCCGGCGCTTTAACCAGGTTGGTGAACATGGAGATTCCACCTAAGGAAGTTGGAAAACCGTAATTCCAAACCAATGGTGCACATGGACTTCAGTGCCCTGAAGTAATAAATGGCGTGTGAACTAATCGTTGGTCATTGGCTACCATGGGACTGCATCTCCTGACGTTGCTACACTGCCTTGTGGATTATACCTTAAAGTCAAAGGCTCCGACTGTGGCCCCCTAAGAAAGCCACCTGCTTCAGTTTGGACACATGGACAGTATCCCAAACCTCACACAAGTCGAATGATTTATGTGGCACATATCTATTTGGTGCCTCTTTGTACCAATGTTCATGTGTTTAAATAAAGAAGTTTTTCATAAAATATAACACCCAGACAAGTAGCAATTTGCATGCAATTTAAGAAAGTACATTTCACTGTCATTTCCTCCAGTCTTATGATTTTAAGATGACTTAGCTTAAATGTTCTTCTGTACCATAAAAATGCATGTAGGTCCCAGACCGAGTACATTTTGCTTCCTTTTAAATAGATTTATTGACCTGAGATCATATTAGCTACTCTGTAATCCGTTGTGCATTAGATGCAAAATGTGGATAATTTGATCAGTCCACATACAACACCGGCAGTTAGGCTTTATATACATCATTCTTTCCTAGTAAACCACTTACTCCATCAAATTTTAACGTCTAGGTCGGTCTTTGTAATCTATTGTTTCTAGCTTCACGTCGATAAGCAATATGGCCAAGACATTTCCAGCTACCCTTGTTTACCCTTCATATCTACTGGTGTCACTGCAGTTTATCTTGTAATCGACTCATGACTTCTTCACATGATATATTATGTGGACACCATATGCTAATGATATTTAAAAGTTCTTTATAGTTTGAATTGTCTGAGCCATAGATCTCTTCATTAGCAAATTATAAACTTTCTGTAAAAGCAGGGCTTAGTACTCGAGGTTATTGGACTTCCTTGACGTCAAGTACGATTCAGCAGGATCTTAATTATCCGCATTACTATTTTTTGACTCTTATTCAGAAAGTAAAGGCAAGAGTTCAGATGACTGTATTGCCTAAAATGTTTAATAGACGTCTGAGCTAAATAACTTACTAGTTCACATTAACATTTAAGTAAAATTATTGAGAAACAAGATTAATATCATTGTTATTTATTGGACTCATCTAGAAACGTTTCTGTTAAATTTCATTAACTCTTACTATATCCTTTAATTTATTATTTCAGTGGGGCTGGTCAAGAAGTTGGAAGGTCATGCATACTGTTGACATTTAAAGGGAAGAAGATAATTGTAAGGTGTCCCATTGTCTTTTATAAATATATGTTCACAGCTGGATTGTGGTATACATCCTGGCTTACGCAACCGAGAAAGCTTGCCATTCATTGATGCAATCCCGGATATCCAAACGACAGACCTTATTTTGATTAGTCAGTAAGTAATTTAATCTCAATGCAATATGCATAGCTTTCATCTTGATCACTGTGGAGGGCTTCCACATTTGCTTTTAAAGACTGGAGCTAAGTCAAAATGTTACATGACACACGCAACGAAAGCTATTTATCGTTATTTGCTTGCTGACTTTGTTCGTGTTAGGTGAGCTTCTAATACACTAAAGATATTCTACTGGCTAGCAATTCTGGTGGCCTACCGGATCAATTATTGTACAGTGATCGAGACATAGTAGCTAGCTTAGACCATATTGATACTATAGATTTTCACCAAGAACTTGAAGTTAACGGAATAAAGTTTTCTGCCTATCATGCTGGACATGTGTTAGGTGCAGCTATGTTTTTAATAGAAATTGCTGGTGTAAAAGTTCGTCCTCCTTTACAGATAACTTTCATAGAGTTCGTCTAGATTTTATATACTGGAGATTTCAGCCGACAAGAAGATAGACATTTAATGTGTGCTGAAATTCCTCCTATACGTCCAGACGTTCTGATAACCGAAGCTACTTATGGTATCCATATCCATGACAAACGGGAAGAAAGAGAAGCTAGGTTTACTAGCTTAGTTCACGATATTGTCACTCGTGGAGGGCGCTGTTTGATTCCAGCATTTGCACTTGGCAGAGCCCAAGAATTAATGTTGATTCTTGATGAATATTGGGACAATCATCCAGAACTGCATGACATACCTATTTATTATGCCAGTCAGCTCGCACGGAAATGTATGGCAGTTTACCAAACGTATATTAATGCTATGAACGAACGAATTCGCAACCAATTAGCAAACAACAATCCATTCTGTTTCCGACACATATCCAATTTAAAGGTAGATGAGTAGTATCAAAGCATTTTATAATTAACACTTGTCTTGGTAGAGTATTGAACATTTTGATGATTCTGGTCCATGTGTGGTTATGGCCAGTCCTGGAATGATGCAGTCTGGTCTTAGTCGAGAGCTATTTGAGAATTGGTGCACAGACAAACGTAATGGAGTAATTATTGCAGGCTATTGTGTCGAGGGTACTCTGGCGAAACAAATTTTATCTCTACCGACTGAAGTACCTACAATGTCAGGTCAAATGTTACCATTGAAATGTTCAGTAGATTATATTAGTTTCTCTGCTCATACTGACTATCAACAGACGAGTGCATTTATCAGAGAACTAAAACCAAGCTATGTCGTAAGTTATGCAATATGCTAATGCAAGTATTTCATCTTCTTTACTACTTTCCCTCCTTAAAATATGTCTAATTTTAATATTAGTCATTGAACAACGTGCTATTTTTTATTTTTAGTGATAAACTTATTGCTTGATTTTTTTGACAAATTATAATAACTAACTATCACAATGTTAGGAAATTAAATATGTGGTTATCAAGTTTAAGTTTTGAGACTGCCCTGATTATTTTGACTTTGGTTGCCGAATCGCTTCACATTCAATCTCACGACTATGAACTTCGTTAAATTCTCGTTCTTCATATAATTAGCAAATTAATAACACTACAGTATGGTTAGTATCCGAGTGGATTTTACACTGAATTGGTAGTGTCAAAAGTATCTAAATATATTTTGGATAAAAAAAGTCGCTTTTGTTGTATTTTCATCCAGATGACTTATAGATGTTTATTTAAATTTTATAGGTTAGTTAGTGAGGATTTTCAAAACATTGAAGCGTTGGTTTAAAATCCTAATTGACATGCCTTAAAATCTGCAACACCAATTCAAATCCATTAACTCGATATGTTTCTGTATGTACTAGATACATTCTTTATTAGTTGAATGTGGAGTTGTCAGTTGGTGTTTGATGTACTCATTTTTTCAATTGCTGATTCAAACCCCATTCCTTTACAAAAACTGAGGAAATCAGCTGACACTAATACTGTTCACAAAATAGGTATAATTCACAGTAGAAGTCATGGATCTTTTCTAGTTTATCGAAATGTATAACAAATCTTTTTTTCATTTTTGTGTTTTGTTACGTCATTGATCTGTCTACCCACTTTTGGTGCTGTGGATACTTATCTAATCCAGATTAAGACCTTAACACGATAGACTGACCGGCTTAACCCTGTGGCTAGTATGCGTGAGTTCGAAGCGGGTTAGAGAGAAGAAAGCTATTCTGTCACCTGATTGACTGACAAGCACGCAAGTGAAAGAAGACAACTGGAACACTGCTCGATCTATTCCCGATTTCCTGATTTCAGATTAGTGTAAAAAGGTACATGAATAAATAGGTGAATAACCCGACCACAACGTATAATAATTAGGAAAAATACAATTATGTCCAAAGATGGGAATTAGAGTAGAAAATAGGGTGCAAAATATCATGTTTAAAATTACAATAGCTTCGGAATAGAAAAGGGTATGGCAATAAATCATACATCGAACGAAAGCTTATGTTCTGTAGAATAGATTAGGGACAAAAATAAATGTTAGTGCTTTACAAGCTTTGAGTAAAATGAAATAACGTCCCGAAAATAGCTTTTATAGTTTGCCAGGGCTTCTTGTTCTCCTGTTCACATCATGTTTATTCTTTACTGTTGTTTTTTATGTCTAAATTTTGTGTAGTAGTTTAAAACGTGAAGATTTAAGTAATGCAATGTTCCCATAGGCCCTGTATTGTACTGGTCGTTTCTTTATTTCAGTGTCTTAAAACTTTCTCTTTTAGGTATTAGTACACGGAGAACAAAACGAAATGTTACGGTTATGTGGGGCTTTACAAAGGGAGTATGAAGATGATGAAACATGTAGACTGGAAATATTTACGCCTAAAAACTGTGTCCCAGTTAATCTACGTTTTCGTGGTGAGAAAGTCGCTAAAATTTTGGGTAGTCTCGCTCATAGTGCTCCTAAAGAAGGTCAAACTATTTCAGGAGTTCTTGTAAAGAAAAATTTCGCATATCATATTTTAACACCTGGTGAATTACCGAGTAAGTAATTTCGCATTGTTTTTGTGTTAATGATCTCGTGAAAGTTAAGATTTGGAACGCATCTCGAAAGCCTCTATGGCTTTGATGCAAACCCTACTGATAATATCAAGAGGTATTTACCACTCTACTTTAAATAACCATTAACAGATAATTTATTTCTGTTTGTCTTGGTGTATCATACTTTGCATATGGTTCATTAACTGACATACTTGACCTCAGTACGTATAATCTAATCTAGACAGCTAAATATTGCTGGTAGCTCTCACTTGAAAAGTGTGGTTTCGAACTTAGTACAGTAGTTTTATACGGTTTTTGAGATGTTGAACACAGGAGTAAATGTCTGAATGATTAGATTGAAAAGGAGTGTTTCTCCGCTCAACTTGTATTTTTTATTATATTTAGCATAAATTAGTAATTATGCTAGAGAAATAGTGTTTCTCTTTGTGTCTACTATGTCATGTTTTTCCCTATTTTCCCTTAGCATACACTGAACTAGCTACAACTGTTGTAAATCAAGTCATTTCTATTCCATTTACTGGTAGTGCTAATCTTTTGAAATTTCATCTGGCTTTACTTGCTGGTAGCGTGGAAACGGTATCTCAAAAATCAGATAATGTACAATACCGTGTATTTGATGCAATTAATATTACTTGGCGACCACAACAGATAACTATGGAAGTAAGTTATATATATATATATATATATATATATATATATATATATATATATATATATATATATATATATATATATATATATATATATATATATATAGTCGAAGTGAGTTGCAGTTTTTCAGAGATTGAAGACAGACACACTCGGGTCCATTAAATATAAGAGACCAGTTTCAAGAGTAAGATTCAATTTATTAGATGAATTGGACCCTGCATAATAAGCTGCTTAGATATTCTGTACATAAAGTTTTATGTTAGTCTTTTGTAAAAAAAATTACATAGTATTACTTCGTTGTTTAATCATGAATATTCATCCTATACATTTCGATCTTAGTGGCAATCCAATCCTACAAGTGACATGTATGCGGATGCTGTACAGAATGTTATTTTACGTGCTGCTATGCAAGGAATGCCTCCTAGAGGTAAGTATTTTTACTATTTCTTTTGAGTTTTTTGGTACATGGGACTAATAGTATAATCTTCCGACGTTGTATAATAAAGTTTATTTTAGTTTGTGGCTTACATAATGCAATGCTAAAGTCATTGATTTCAAAAGAAATCAGGTACATTTCATGTTTATCATAAATTTCCTGTCCACTGTTTACTTAAAAGACGAATGAGTAGTAGAAACTAGACTGAAATTGAGGAACTGAGAAAACGAGATTACGTCTGAGAAGAAACGTTTTCTGATTTTGCTAAAAGCTTCATGCTACGGATTATCACTCCATAGTAAACCGTGTTCAAAAAGCTTGTAGTTATCCAAATTAAAGAAATATATAGCCATAAATTTATGTTGTATCTCTGAATATTCCAAGAATTTCCTTACTCTATTTAGATAACGCTAAACATTAGGCTAATTAATCGGTTAAAAGTATACTATACCGATGAATTAGTCACATCCAAGATAGGGCCTTTTGAGTGTGTAAAATCGCCTTATATCTAGTTCCTAAAGTTGATAAAAATGTCTTCTGTGCAACCACATTCTGAAGCTACAAGATCATAATGGAGAGTACTTGATGTGATTCAATTCATAGTCAAGGATACTTGTGTGAATGAAGAGTATTCTCCTGCTTTAACGCTGCTAACATTAATCTTAACACATAACCCTAAGTATTAATTGTTAAGATGTACCTGTTAACTAATTATCTTATTCCTTACCAATCACCGATTAATTTTTAAAATGATGTGGTTTCGTTGACTTATGTATTTATTGTTGTGGAAAGGACTAAGCAAATTTTCGAATGTTCCGTTCTTTTTTCAACAAAAAGCATATCTTCCTTTTTTCTTTAACTGCACTTAGGCTTACCTCATCTTATTGAACCGAACAAAGAGCAATTTCGATCTGCGCTCGAAGTAGCACTTCAAGATGCATTCGGTATTGACTGTTTAGAAGAAGAGATAATTAAGCCTGATGCTAATCATGTTATAGTGCATGTTGATTCTCATGTCGCTGAAGTGAATCTATGCGATTTAGTAAGAAATAATATAATTTTCCTATTTGTTTTGTAAGCTTATACTATTCATCTCTTCACTCTGTAATATTATTATCTCACTGTTCACCATAGGTTGTGTTACGTTAATTAAACGATTTACCTATTGAAAACTCAGTCTATTGTGTACTAACTTACATTTTCCGTAGGCTACTTAGTGTGATTAGTTTAAAGACATTAACTCGGCTTAAATAGGATTTAGAATTTAAAGAAATATTGATACATATTCATCAGTTCACACTTTGTGGTATCAGTGTAAATCATCTCTGCATTCCACATTGAATATGTTACATTTAGTTAAATGTGTGTAAATCTAATTGTCCAATCGTCTTCAACTGTTGTAGTTAATTTTTACTTTAGAATAACTGCTGAGTATTTTTACTGACTAGTGGCACCTAAATGTTTTCTCTTGAAGTTTGCTTAGCTCAAAAGTTTTCGTTATAGTGATATTTAGTCATTCAACTGATTATGTACAATTATCTAATAGATGATTTTCTTTCATATATCAATGTTAATTGAAGAGTTATCCGAAAAACATTAATGGTAATCAAAACACTAAATCAATGTGCCTACTACTCATTTTCAATTCTTCTAAACTTGAAGTCATCCGTAATGATAGGAAATGCATATACGAATATCAGTGAGAATTAATATATAGGACATTGTTAAAATGGATGTAATTGATTTCTGTTGCAAATAAGTACTAATTAGAAAACATTGAAACCCCAGAGAGCACTAGGTAGCTCTCTCATTCTATTATGGGGTTCCTCAATAGTGATTACAAACAAGAACCATTTGATTTAATGGTTTATAGATAACGTATTCACCGCGAGAGCTAAAGGTTTTGGGTTCTATGTACGATGGAGTCGTGGGTTTAGATCGTTTTGAAGCTCATACTCGTACGGAATATTCGTCTGGTGCTCCTTCGTTTCCAGTGGCTTCCCACTTGATATCAGTATGTAACGAAAACTGACTTTCGTATCTCTTTAGTCCCCTTTAACAAGTATAGATTTAATTGTCTTTATGCTTTGACATTCTTTTCGCTCCTCATTATGGCATATTTCGGTGTCAAATTTGGTTCGCAATAATTATTCACGAAAAAATAATACGCTTTTTGGTCATATGTCTTCTCTCATAATAGAACGTCTTCAAATTAACAAATATCTATGAAGGAAATCATTTCTCTGCATCTACTTGTTATCGATCTTATAATTAACTGGTTGGTTAATAACATTTACCTTCAACATATGCTGTACGTAAGATTTAAGCCTACGTTGTTTGATAAAGTCTCTGGAGACGCTACAAATAGCACCATCTAACACCAAGTTATGTATATGACGTAGTCTTTCAACGAAAGACAGTAGTATTCTTGCCTACCTATTTCAAACATGTTGTATGGCGACTACGTGCAACACGATTATTGTAATCAGTTACTAATATTTATGATAGAATTCATTGTAATAGGATTTTCTTTTAATATTATATTGTAGTCCGTCTCGTGTAAAACCAATCCAAGATTGGAGCATATTCTTCAAGTTATGGTCAATCGATTGAACCACTGCATTTCAGCTATGTGAATCAATTATTTTGTAAATTATAATCTTTTCCACAGAAACACTTCTTGTTACAATCATTTTTCCAAACCGTAGTCGAAAAATTCAACTAATTAGAGAGATAGTCTATCAATAAAATTAATCTGACATTTTTAATGACAATAATATGGTAAATATCGCATGTGATCTGAAGCAACAAATTTCAACACTGATGAATAAGTGATAAGGGACTTTGTGGTTAAACCGAGTATCAACACTTTCTACTGTATAGATTACCAACTACAATGATCGAGTAATAGAGCTTTGAGATCTCTGTTAGAGTCTGTCTGTGAGATGTTAATCTCACTTATTCAATCTCCATATTCTTACTAATTGTTTTTTTATTTAGAACTCACTTTGTAGTTCTCACTGAAACGAAGTCTTTTGTTATGTATCTCATGATCATAATAAAAACATTGCCAATATAGAATCCACTAAATCCATTACATGACCATCAGTTTTCTGTGTTTTACATGTTTAATCAATGGTTAACGACCCATCTTATCACTATTAATATTTAAATTTTAATCATATTCAAATCGAATCAATGATATGTAGGGAGAGCTTTCACTGAAGTTTATAACTTATACACTTCCTTTCAAATTAACTAAACTAATATTCTATTACGATACAACATATTTGAAGCAACATATGGAATAAATAATTTATTTCCAAAGTACACATATGGCATGTTGCCGAATGTCATTTCATAAAAGACATGTTCGTTACCATTTTGTACATAGAAACCCACTACAAAATATTTAATTGACTTCTGTTGCTGAGTATCTATTACGGAGATGATGAGATCTGTTGGTGCCTACCTATGGATTATGCAGGACTTTGCTGTGAATATTCTTAGCCTTAGTTTCTGACTCACCAAACCGAATTAATTAACAAATGATGGCATGTGAGATCCAACTAGATACGTCAACTAGTATAATAATTATGTCTCCAAAAATCCCGACAGCCATAGAAGTTCGGTAAACCGATTTTATGTTTCCAGTAATAAATGTTAAGCCTCAGTTCAAGTAGGCACATAAACAAGCACGCGTGAAAATACATCTAGCTGACAAGTATTAAAAAAAACAAGTACATGCGGTAGATCTTACTACCATCGAATAATAAATTACTTGAAACTTTGGTCAACAGTCCAGAAAATGTGTTTAAATAGTTACATGTCAAGCTCTGAGGAATGATTCCTACAAGATTTTGTGTTCCTTTTGATTGTATAACGTAAACCTGTGTAGATTTTTCATGGTCACATTACCCTCTGTATAGCAGCCAATCACTAATTGTATACTGAATTAAATTCCTAACTCTACAGTCACATATTTCTGTAAAATACTGAAGCTACTAACCAGATATTTTAAACGGAAAACGTGTCTAGTTTGAATAATCCGTATTGTGTAGATTAACTTCCAATGGAAACCTAAATTGCAATGTAACTCGTTAAGGAAGGTTCTCTTAATAGGTGTGAATGATCAATACCTGCTCATAGGTTCAACACGGTAAAATATAATTTAGACAAGTGACAGCACAAATCCTATTGAATATAACTATAACATATTCAATGAAACAAATGTGGAAATATCACCCGAAATTATTTTTCTGATAGAAAAAAAGTGGAAGAACGCACTAGTGGTTAAATTGATTGGGCTTAAAATTAGCACTCCAGTAAGGTGAAAACTATAACCTTCGTAATTATGTGAATATTAAGCAGCGTGATCTCCATGATGTTCAAGATGTGACAGCTGACCAAACGTACAACCCGGTGTTTTCTTACGTATGTTTGTTTTCATAAAAGAGAATGAAGTATAAACACCGAATTTCAAATAAATTCGAAAGCGGTTCATGACTTGTTGAAATGGGCTTCTCCCATTACTTCAAGGTAAGTGATAAAATAATTTCCTGGACCAATATCTTAAACATTCACAACTGGATGATTTACTGGCGAAATATTCTTTCCAAGGCTAAGGCACCATACTCGTAAATTCTAGCTTTACAAATATAAAGGAAATCCTTGTCTTGTGACAAGCGGGAAATTATTCGGTCTAAATTTACAACCTCGGTCAATTTGCAGTGGATTGCCCTCACACAACACTAGTTGTTTCATTTTCTACCCGGTTAATTTACTGATCAGTTCTATGTAGCTATCTTTTATTTCGCAGAGACAATTTTATGAACAGGATGTTTGCTTTCTCCACCCACACCCAGCGTAGGCTGATGTGCTGTGTGAAATTTCCAGTGTTTCAAGGTTACAACGACATCTTAATTATCGTCAATGCGTCCGGACACACTGTCGGACCTCGACATTAATTACAGTGCCGCCACCAAATGTGAGCAATCCTTAAGAGAACGGTGACCGAACATCCTCACCTGAACTAGGCATCAGAGCTATGTAGCAGAACTGCTTTACCCAACGCGTTGTATATTCGGACTTTTAAACCACCAATGCCACAGATACTCCAGATTATGAGACGTCGCTGTGACTTTGACTCAGGTATATCGATCTCAACTCACAAGACTACTCAAATGTATGAACATTTCGACTAATTAAAAAGGCCCTTCATAACAGTTCAGTACGTAAGCTAGTGTCAGCCTTGTGCTAAGCAAACATCGTACTTACGGGCACTAGTTTCTAAATGAGTGGTCTACCCGAAAATCCCATCAGGATTTACAAAACTATTCAGACATACAAACTTTCCAGCGATCTAAGAATGAGTCCACTGAAAGATTTTTACAACGCTATCGCAGATGTTTTCAACACTGGATTTAAATGAAATGTTTATGGACCTCAGTCATTTGATTACCTCTACATCATAATTAGTAGTGTTCAATAAAAATTAGACCTAACCTATTTATCACACTGGATTTCGTAATCTATTTTACTTAGGTGATAGTAAGTAAAAGAAAAACTAATCCATCGGCGATTTGATTTTTATGCACACTTTACAAGACAGTAATGATATGAAGAAAACATTTAATAAGTTTGCCCAAATAGTTACATAATACTAAATAATTGTACTTACAATTATATATATATATATATATATATATATATATATATATATATATATATATCAAGTTACAGAATTTTAATAGTTACAGATGTGTATAGACTTACTCAGCCATGCCAAACAATTTACACACTGACAAGTAATAATGGCATGTCTTTTTGAGCGACACGTTAAAAGAGATATAGTAAGAAAATAAAAAAAAGACGGGAGAAAACATATTTTAATATAGGGAGCGAACAAATTATTGACTTCAATGTCAATAAGGAAACATAGTGACTTCGTTTATTAACCTAGAAATCATTTTGCTGAAAAAGGAGATAACAGAGTTAGGCAAATCCATACATACACTCTTCTCGGAATAAGAAACAGTTGGAAGAAATTACGATACACACCACAAAAAAGAAGTTCAGATGAAACCAATTTAAAAAATGATTAGATGAGTAATTTCGCACAATAGAGAAAGAAAAAAATAAGGACAGCTGCAATGATAACTATGATGGAAGTAGTAATAATTAGTCTAAAATGTCCAACATAAATGCTTATGTTCCTATTTATCAATACATACAGAGGGGTCAGATATATTTAGTGATCCATAAAATTGGAAACTCGATTCATCTGAAGAACAAAGTTAACAGAAAGCTTGTTACTGGAATTCGCTGTAAATTAAAAACGAAGTAAAACATGTCTCAAATAATTCAAAATACTTTACGCTACTAAACGATGTAAAGCTCTTACCATGAGCTATGAGGCAAATGCTTACAGTGAGTCACGAAACGTCGAAAATATATATATATATATACTGTTGGAGGGCATTTGCGTACATGACACGACAAGCACACTCAACATCAGATAATGGAGGTCAATTTTGTCAAAATCGTTCCTACAAGGGGGAGTTTTCCTGTTTCTCAACGATTGGTCTTTCACCAACTGGCCTAGGTAGCACTGTCGAGAGAAACTTCTAGAAAGTTCCTGAAATTACATTCAAAACTGTCTATGATTGCTGTTTTAAATATAATCCTTTCTTTTCAAAATGTAAAAGCTCTTCCGCGAAAACATTTGATTGTTTTCTTTTCATATTGATTGAAGTGTCACTAAATTACTGCTTCTTTGGTGTTTTGTGAATCAGTAGATATCATCGCAAAAACACTCATTATCATTACAACGATAGAAGTCCTTATTGTCAGAGATGTTTGTAAAAGACCATGATTTTTAGTCGCAATTCACACGACTTGGACTAAATTAGTATCACAGTTGAAAAAAAAACACGATAATACTCAGATCTACAGATTGCTCAAGTAATAAATCTATTAGCGGCTACTACAAAAATTGTCAGTAATTGCTAAGTTAGTTAAAATTCTATTCGGTACCAAGAACATTGGAAGTGCAATAACTGTCGCAACAAATAAAGTAAACCAATTCAAAATAAGACGTTTTTCAAACAACTCACCTGAGTGTTTACATAATAAATTCACGAGCTGACTTAAGTTTTATCATAATTTTTGGTTGTTATTAGAATGAGCAGAAGGTATGCTCCCAATGATATTTTCTCTAGGATCCTCTTTTTGTGAAGACAAGCTCTGGTATTTAGATTGATGAGCAGGAGGAGGCTGTGGGGGAAAGAGGAGAGCTGATGCCGTACCTAGTGTCGGATTTAAATTCAGCCCCACTCTACCAGTACTAGACAATGCGCGATGTTGTAGTTGGTCAATCTGTTGGCTAGATAGAGCGACAGCTGCAGACTGATGGGTAATTTGCTGGCTAAACTTATTTGAATCATGGGGGAAATTCGATAGGACGTTTTGTGCACACGGTTTTGGAAAACCATCATTAATAGAAACCATTGACTTTCCAAGTTCACTAACCTTCAGCTGAGCAGTGGGAGCTTGCTGTGCAGATTGACACTGGGGATATGATTGTCTGAAACATAACAAACACACCTTCACATTCGTACCAGAACATTACATTTTATACTGAGATAAAAACTAAATAGATTACTGATATAACGGATAGTTTAAAATATTTTTCTCTTAAGTATAATACGTAATACGCCAATAAGATAATGAGACCAGTCACGTAATAACATATCCAGAATTCATAACTTTGAATAGAAAATCATATTACCACTAGATAATACTTTATACATCAGTTACACTTGGTGAGTCCAGAGTAGAAACAACGAGAGGAAAGGAAATCACATATTTAATAGTCAGTTGGCGAAGTACCTGTTTTTCCACGCTCAGTGACCAATCATATTTTAACTTTACTACTACATATCAACTACAAAACCATTTACTAGGTTATGCCACTACATACCCGTGATGCCTGAGAGGTATCACTGATGAAATAACTTTGATAGGCTATAATATGAATAACTTCATTAATGTGCAATGGAAATGGTCTTTAACAAGCGAATATCTTAAAATAATAAGTCTAGGTTAGTCATTGACAATCCAGTTCACCACATTCGTATTAGAGCGATCGTATTAATATGCTGAATTAAATCAATTAAAAGACTAGTTTTTGTAAACACTTAACGAAACATACTTTTTTATCAGCAGTCAAAATATCCATCTCAAGAAAAAAGTAATTTGTTGGCTATTATATTATTTAGTTTAATTATTACCTAAGTGAAAGGTAAAAACCTAGGACAAGTTCCACACTATGAATCCATCACCGCATTATATGCTCTATGTTTAAAATCCATTATAGTTTACATTAATTCCTCTTATTTACATCTTATCGTGTTGATCCCCTTTCTTGATGTACTTACGCGGGGTGGTGACTTGAATAAACGGAAAACTGTGTTGGATCCCACGTCGAAGACTGGTGTGCATAAGTATTATTTTCTCTTAGTTTCATATGACGACTATAAATAACATTCTCTACTATGTACTTTACCAAAACTGGTGTGCGATAAGCTCAAATTATCTGACGTATTTAATAAAATATACCTTTTCATAGCTACTGGATTGATAACTGTAGATTTGCCCAGTTCTGAGTTAAGCTGTACCGCCTTGGACACTAAAATAGTGGCTGCAGGATTAGAAGAACTAGATGAGACAAGACGCAGAGGTATACCCGGATTAGCCGTTCGACCTATAACAGCTTCATTCTGTAAAATAGGTGTTCGATTTAACTGGGAATTTTGAGGTGTTGAAGTTGACACAGGAACTACCAGTGAATTTGGAGATATAGATGCTGTGGTCGATTGCAGGACATATGAGAAGCGAGAAGTGCCAGTATCCACGCAAACAGTTACTGGAGTCTTAGCATTAACAGTTTTCGAATGAATTGAACTTTGAGCAACCGAAGATGGGGTAATTCGGAAATTGGGGCGGTTAATTGGTTGTGTGGGTGAGTGAGCTGTAGGAAGTGATTGACAATGTTTTGTGACAGGAACTAAATGAGGGCTAGATTTAGGGCTGCAAACAACCGATAAACTTGTACGTGGGCTACTGTTTGATACTACATGATCGGATACCTTGGGAACTGTTTTGGAGACAGTTGAAACCGAAATATTCGAAGAAATATGGGGTATAATGACAACAGGTGAATTTTGTTGTGATAGAGCATTAGAGTCAGGAAGAGGTGTTGTATTTGCAGCAGAAGGAGAATTGTGACTTCTCCCATTACTTGTATGCGTAGAACTGTTATGGTTGCTATTGTTGTTCGTAGGTCGTGCAAGCGATTGAGATGCTGAAGTGCTGTTGCTCAAGCCACTAAGACGAGATAACAAATATTGTATTGATTTTTAAAAATAATAATCCAAATAACTTTGTTATGCATAAAGAAAATCGGACACCGCCATAAATTATAAAAGCAAACAAAAACAAACAGCTACTATAGAAAATAATCTTTCACGTATATTTGTCAAGCTAATCTCGGATAAAACTATCATCGAAATGGATTTTTTCAGGATAAGATGGTTCAAAAATGACTACACCATTAATTACCAATCATGAATGACTAGAATACAACGAAGAATAGAAATCTGTAAATAACGGTAACACTGTCTAGGAAAGCATCTCTCAGTGATGCCACTTAGTCTTTAACAAATATCCTAGTGAGATCGGCCAGTAACGGAAAAAATAATTAATATATTGTCTGTCTCTACTTATGTAAAGCTGATTAATAAACTGAGAAAATAGATAAAACATTAGACATCCTGCAATATTTGTAGGTAGACCAAAACGCCATCACAAACCAAATAAAATTATGAATTCCATGGAATATGTCAATATTCAGTAATTTTAAATGGACAACTAATAAGATCACATAGTGCTAAGGGGTTGGAATCCATCGGCAGAGAACCTTAGAACTAGATTTTATATTATTTGACAACTATCATCAACGTCTATCTGCAATCATGGCGAAACTGATGCCCTGTATGGGATTAAAAACAGCCACACTGCAGCGTAATCGACAAAGTTCGCTCAGCACTGAGAAATAGACAAACATGATAAGTCACTACTACTTAGAGCCAATCAGTGTAAGATAACATAGTTAAAGTCATCCATTACATAGTTGTTATGCTAAAATCTAACCCACTGAATCTATTATAAACAGCTAAGTAGTACTACGAATCTTGACATATGTGGTGCTATCGTCAATAATTTTATTTAACAAATCTATATGATAAAATCAGTCGAATGTTTTTTCTCTTACTATGCACAGTTTGCACCGAATAACTTCCCAAACACCATTTAGCCGTTTTATTTCTATCTACCGGATGACAGAAAAACAAAATATTTACATTTGTTTAAAAAAAATGTGACCTACTTATCGCTGCAAAACTTTTGGAAGATTGGTAAACCAGTACGCCATAATGCGCTAAAAAACAAGAGGATGTGAATATTATAATATAAATATATATATATATATATATATATATATATATATATATATATATAGAGAGAGAGAGAGAGAGAGAGAGAGAGAGAGAACATGTGGTCGATGCAGCCACGACCAGGTCTGAAGCCAGATCGATTCTCTCGTGTTTGCAGTTCACGAGTCTTAGTTAGGCGTTCGATAATTATCGAGGCTAGTATTTTAGATATTATATTAGTCAAACTAATCCGTCTATGGTTGTCACAGGATGATTTTGACCCCTTCTTATATATTGGGACAATCAGTAATTGTGACGTCCAACTCCTAGATTTTGGCTAAAATATTAGTCAACCTAGTCGCTAAAATTGAAGCACCATCCTTAAAGACCTCTGGATCCGATTCAACTGAACCAGCTGCCCTTCCTCGTTTTAGATTAACTATAACCTTTTGAACTTCAGCTACAGTTGGGGGACCTAATTTAGTATTCTATCCACGCTGTCTGGGAATGGCGGGTAGTTGTAGAGCAACTGAAGGCCAGCTGAACTGCTCCTTAAAGTGTTCCGCCCATCGCTCTAAACGCCTGAGCAGAGGGCAGATAAGAGTACCGTTTTTTTCTGAGATCATCTCACACTTGACTTATTAATTCCACTTTCTTTTATTAGTCTGTAGAGCAGTCTAGTGTTGCCTACAAACGATGCCTTTTGCATCTCTTTTGCTTTCGTTACCCGCCACTGCTCACAATCATTCCCTAGAATTTTGCTTAACCTAGATCAGATTCGCTTTCGCTCTTCGTGTTCAGAGCCTGATGGGATGAGTTTACGATAACCCATCATCGCAATAGACTTAGAAGAAACCCATTAGTTTTTTGTGACCCTTTGATTTAAATCATTAATAGATATCACTGCTGTTTCCATAGCTGTTTGTATAACTTTCCAAGCAACATCTGGGTCAGACTCGTTTTCAGAACTAACTAAGTGTGATCTCAGCTGTTCCTGGAATCTACTTTTAGTTTTCTCGTCACTCAATTCAATTCTAATGGGTCTTCTTAGTGTGCTTTTTCTGCGTCCGATGAGGCGTAAACAGATGCGTGCCCATATTAGAGCACGGTTAGAGTCTAAGCAGGTATTCCAGAATGAGCGACAATCTTGTATCGACCCTCTCCAAAGATGACTGGTGGCAATATGGTCTATTTGAGTTCATCGTTGGTTTGGTGCAGGGGGTCGCCATGTTAGACGATGTCTCTCCTTATGCTTAAAATTAGTGTTTGCTAAAAATAAACGATTGTCTGAGCACAGTTGCAGCAGATGATCATCATTATCTGTTCGCTGAGCTGGGATACTAAAATACTCACCTAAATGTCCTTCTGTTTGGTATAGCTCGGACTAGGCACTTTAGTAAAACGTTAGTTATTGAGTTTCAATCACTAATTTTTATAAAAATAACTTTTAGTACCACTAGATCACGAATTTAAAATCAACAAAGATACTTCAATTTATGTAATCTAGTGGTAGGAATGTAAGTCGTCAATGTGTAATCACACCCCAAAGAAAAAATCTGGTAAGTTAGTGATTAAATATGAGTCATAGAAGAAGCAGGAGTGATAAGCTAGTCGGACAGAAATAACTTAGAACAAAGAAATTCTCGTCAGTCCATACTACTACACCGAATAGCAAAGAAATGGAAAGTCATAAAAAGGGAAAGACTAGTATAAATAAGAATGTACTTGAGTAAATAGTGACAATACAAGTAAAGAATAATAACTGTAAATTGAGTTGTCATTAAATTGGTTTGAATGGTTTTACTTTCATTGAAATTTAGACGTTTTTATCTTAGCTCTGTTTAATAATAATCCTTACTTTCATAATCATATGTAAATGTCGCGCTTTTTGTAGCTGAGGAAATTAGAAGTCATAAACAAAAGTGAATTACGTTTGTTCAGTAACTCATGGTCTCCTTGTTATGATGAAAATGAATTAGTGAACATGCGAGAAATATGAGAAGTACAATATCAAATATTCTTCTTGAAAAAGTGAATTTACCGTCTTTATTGTAACCCGTGATGAGTTATGAATAATTCAATAACCTCAATCACTGATTTCTAAAGTTCGAAGAGCCAGAACCACAAAGCCCATGTGGATCAGACTAACTGACAGACTTTGAAATTAACACAGTGTTTAAGATTCGGAAATATATGGCATATTCACGAACCTACTAACTCAATGGCGTGAAAATAATAATTAAACATGATAGATACTTACGCATTAGTAATCCAACCATCAGGCCAAAGTTGAATTAAAGTTGGAAAAAGGCGTCTCAGATAGTCTTCAGCAGAACCTTTGATGTTCAGCAATTTATAACTTTCAAGTCGGCAAAGGATGATTTTATCGAAAAGTTGCCTATGGTTAAAAAGAAACGAACAGATTGTTCCACGTTTAAAAATATTAGATACCTTCTTACTATACCTGGGAAATAACGAGTTTACATATCAGTCTCTTCGTTCACTGGCTATGAATTATTGTAAGTATGAAAACATTACACGAATATAACCAAAAGATAAAAATACATTTATAAGAAAATTGATTAAAGACAACCTTAATTTATTTATAACTAAGGTTTGGAATTTTCAATATTTTACTAAATTAAGATTGATGTTATTTTAAATTGGAATTAAAAAGAACCGTTATATCAACCAGAGAATGGCTGTGGGTTAATCACCATGAATAGTTCCGAAATCTTGAAAATGATATTATCATATTGGAAAACACTTATACGGCAAGCATCATTAAAATTCCTCGAAGACTCGGGTGAATGAAAACTTCACAACAAACATAAAAGTTCAATCCGAATTGCCATATGTCTGATATTTTCTTCAATATTAAGACTAGTTAGTATTCATATGGCCCGAACTCTACCTAATTTGCAAACTTTATGTAGGTAGCAGAGATCAGTCGATTATAAGTTTTACAACTCGATTTTACATTAATAACGAAGTACCATTCAAAATTGGTGAGACAGATATGACGGTAAATAATTTACCTGCATTCAGAATTCCATCGGTAGATTTTCTTAGGAGGTCCGGGTTTTGGAGGGCGTTTCGATAAGTTTCCGTCGCTTGAACCATTAACACCTTGATTATCGTTTAAATCTGAACCGCTTTGCAAATTTCTGAAACCGAGGAAGAACAATTGAAGGGATTGTCGCTCAAGATATTTATACTTGGTAGAGGGTACCAAAAATGATCGAAGAAAACCCGTGGCTAACAACCATATGGACTACAAATAGAGAAAAGTCCATTTACTCCATGCTAATCAGTCCTAATCCAAACTGTGCAACGTTAATATCCAAACCGAATAGCTACGAAGAACCTAAAGGGTTATTCAATATAACTTGACTCTTAATTCAATAACAACCAATTTACAAGAAAAACTATTACTAAACCACAAACCTATTACATACATAGATTGTAAAACTAGATCCTGCCAAGTGAATCCAGTGTCAGAAATGTTTGACAATATTACATCGTTTTCCAAATGCGTTATAACCGGCTCTTTCATAAGCATCTCGAAAATATCAAAGCAATAGTAAACTCTTGACCTAGACTCCCAACAATTAAGTGGAAAAAACCTAGTTCATGGATGTGAAGAATTTAAAAGAAAAATAGTATATCCTATATACATATTCCCTTTCTTAGTAATTTATAATTACATTTAAATAATTATAACTTAAGATGAATTTTACACTAAACAAATACCAATACCGAGTAAATAGTTACCAGAATACAGCAGAATAACAAACTGAAATGGTTGATAACTGAATGTCAAAATATAATCGAATCTTAAAATGAGCAATTATTACCTTGAATTATTCAATAATTCTAACTTCGGTCGCTATTTAATACCCATAAACTGAAAACCAGTTACTAAATGTTTATGTGCCAACCTTGGAGTAGTACTATTGGTGATGATTAAAAAGTATCACCAGGATGTTTGAACCAAAACTTATAAGACGCACAAATCCACCATGCAGTTAAAAGTGAAGTGTTTAAAATAACAGTTCAGTTGAAAAATAATACAACTTATTGATTAACTTACTCCGTTTGCCAAGCTTTGATACGTTCCAAATGAACTTCTTTATCTCTTGTATAACTTTCAATAATTGGAGGCATAGACGATGAAATAGCTTAAGTTAGGAAATAAGAATAAAACCGAAAAATGAGTCCTTTTGAAGACTCTAGCCATAAGATTTAGTTATTTCATAGACCCCACAGATAAGGCTCATATTTACACTGAAAACGTACAAGGTTGACTAGATACGCATAAAGTGACAATACTGAACTAACTAAGTGGTAACACGGTTCCTTATAGCAAGGTGGGAAAAAACAAATAGTGAAGGTTGGGTGAAAACTAAATAGTAATCTCCTCAAGTTGTAAAAAATGAACATAACTCTGCCCTACAATGAGATCGGTCTTCAGTCGCACTGCCTACCGAACACAACTAGTGACTTTTGTTAGTGAAGGTGTATCCAAACAATCCAGATTTTGAGTATCGACATGGTGCGTGTTTTAACCTGGTTATATAATTTCTAAAAACAAATTCATTGTAAGGTGGATAAAGTAAGGTTGGAAATAAAAGGTACAACAGATCTGTCATTTCATTTACAGTACAAACTTTTCATTACGCTTAGCTACCTAGTAACAATGATCACATACCTTCACCAAGAGCATCCAATAGCGGGTTCATTCTCTGTTCTTGTTTATCTTCCTTCAATCTTTTAAGTCTACGCATTACAGCTTTGTGTTTCAATTGTAAGTGACTTTCTAAGTAGCTGAATACATCTGACCTCACAGACTGATTTATCATCAATTCTTTCAACTTTATATCCAATCTAAATATTATGAACAAAGTAGTTTTAGAAATAATTAGTCGAAACAACAAACCAATCAGTCGAAATTACACAATCCATGAATATGAACATTTATTTATTAGAATAGAATATCTATAAACTGGGTTACCCATTGAAAACATGTGCCAAGAAGATAGCAAATTTTTAATATAATTCCTTGACACCTACAAAGATTGTGACCAAAACTATGATGGAATGTGTTGTTCGTGACATGATGAAAAGCGAATTTTCGGCACTTTGACCGGGTTGGTGGATATAGAAGACCCTGATTACAAACCACTGGTGCACATTGGTTCCAGAATCCTGAGGAAACAAATGGTGTATGAACCAATTGTCGGTCAACGGCCACCATGGGACTGTATTTCCTAATGTTGTTTCACCGCCTCGTGGATTAGACCTTTAGGTTGAGGGCTCAGGGAGTGACCTCCTAGGAAAACCACCTGCTTCGGTTTGAGCGCCCGGTCAGTATCCCAGCCCTCACACAAATCGGATGATTTATGTAACACATGTGTATTCGGTACCTCCTTATACTAATTTTTATGTTTAAATAAGCAAGGCACTGGATTACGGGAATTCTTTTACAAATTATAGTATTTTTCAAAGATTTTCTGTCAAAACTCATTAACGTCATAAATAACATACTTGTGTACAAAACTCCTGAGAAATTTTTCGCTAACATGAATAGTCGACTATAGTTACTATTACAATTCATTTGTTTAGGAGTATAAACAGCTTAATTGAGTTATAGTTATAAGCGTAAAAACTAGTTCCGGTTCATTACAATCAAAAATAATGTGCTTATTAAATTGAAATCATTTCGTTTCTTTATATGATAAGTTTGGAGCTCCGTGAATTAAGAGAAATAGTTTTAACACCATGTATAATAAAGAGGCTTACTGATTGAAGCACTCAAGTGTCAGGCGTTAGGTTGAAGATTATAGAAACCCACTCCAATCACTTCGGTTTTAGCACCTAGGTGATATTACTAGTACTCATACAAAATGTGTGGCTCAGAACTGGGTACACGAACTTGCCCCCGGTCACTGAGTTAAATAAGATTTTTTTAAAGTATAGATGCTCTCGTCGAGGTTGTTTTATATCAGTAGAACATATAGAAAACCTAGTTGGCACTTCACAATGAGAAATGGCTATCCAGATTTTGTTTCTATCCACTTCCGATTAACAGCTATCAGAATGGCACATTACTAAGGCGTATCGTCCTATTTGGGATTCGTCAGCTGGATGTACCTGCATCTCAGAGTTGATGTTCACTCTGGGACTCGAACCCAGCACCATTCTCTTCAAACGCCATTGCGTTATCCACTCAGCTAATGAGGCGCCCCCAGATGCCCTGGTATGGCCGAGAGTGGGGTGGGCCCGCCCTCCCTCTCGAAATGTTCCCACACGGCCACGCGCATACAGCCTCTACCAGGGAAGTCCTACTCACTGCCTTCTCGTGGCGGGGGTGTTGTCTATCCGAGACCCGTATTCTGTGTGGCGCATATATATTTGGTGCCCTGTTGTACCAATATTTATGTGTCCAAATAAATAAATAAACATTACTGAGGCTTTTACCCTACAGGGCAGAACGAGTAATCGGAAATCATGGAGAAATAATATTTTGCAGAGCATTGATGTTATATCCCGAGAAAAAACCATCAAACTTATTTGAGTCGATTATGAAGCTAGTTCACCAAAAGCATGACTACATACTATGCTTCAAGTTGCACTTATAAGGATGGTGATACTACCCGGCAGCTAAAATAGAAGTGGGTGAAGAAAGACTCGGAAATATAGTCTACTAGTTGGAACCTGAGTACATTCACTACTAGGTTACAGCCCTCAAAAACAAATGAATTTTGTGGTAATGCTATGAAGTTTAAAAATAATTAAATAGCCTCAAAAATGAGCCGATTAGCTGCATAGCATATTTTTTAGGGTCTTTCCACAATATCAATAGGGACTGTAATTTGTATAATGACACCACAGACTGCCAGCCGGTGAAAACTTCTTTGTCCGAAATAATTGCTTAACAACAAAATCATACAAACTGGAGTATAAGTTACTTGTTTATTCACTCAACTTATTTGACCGAACCACGCTACAAATAAATAATGGGGAAACAGAATCCAAAGTTTACCACACTAGTGTTCACTTTCCTACCACAACGATAAGTCAACTGACTAAAATTAAGACTAACTATTGCAATCCAGAAACTTACTTTAGTAGTTCAGTATCAAATGGTTTTCCTAGTGCACGACGTTGATTTGTTCCATGTTTATTGAGCTGGAATTAAGTTACTCATATGTTGAATAAAAAACAGCAAATACCAAAAAAGCAATTGAATCAAGCACATGAGTTATCAACTAAAATGTGTAATATCCTAATGAAAAATATCAAGTACATCAACAAGTCACTCAGTAAGCATGTATATGACCTGACTATTTCCTTGGAATCACTATTCGGGGGAATTTTAGTAAACAAAACTTTTAAACAAACAAAATTTTACAAATCATAAGTCCATCACAAAAGCCTCATTCGTACGTTCCCAGTCCACAACCAACAGTAACCCGACCTTTATAACCAGTTGATATCAGTGTAGGACCTCATACGAGTGTGCATTACACTGTATATTAACAACGTAGAAGAAAATCAACAAGATGAGCAGCAACAAGGAGGAACTAAAGTCCAGTTAAATAAGAAACCTATTACGATACATGGACAAGACACTAAAATCACGATCTAATCAATCAGTCATATGCAACGTAGACTAATTTTGAGAAAAGACAAAGAGTGAATGTACCTGCGCTAGTGAGAACAATTCTAAGTCATGTCAATTAAGATCTTTAACCAGTAATCACGATGATTGCACTGACCTCAGCTAGGTAGTCCAGATCTACTAGAAAGGTTCAGAACAGCAGTCAATAACTTTATGTACTGATCTCACGTCTTGGTTTGCTTGTCCCTATCTTTCTTCCAACTAACTCTTAATAAAGTCAAGATTGTAGTTTGTGATAGGAAGTGGCTGGGTGTATGGAATACATGTTCCAGACAACTCAGTCGACTCACTAACCAACTTGCTATATATACCTAGTGCTCTAAGTCCAACCCCTGGATTGCTCACTTGGTAGTACACCGCGTACAAGCAGTACTTTGAACAAATGTTTGTAGAACATATATGTCATCCTTATTTATTTATTTATTTGAACACATAAATATTGGTACAAAAGGTCACCAAATATATATGCGCCACACAAAACAATGAGAATTTAAAGAGAAGGGAAAAAAGGTAAGGAATGTAGGGAATTATAAAAAAGAGAGAGAACAATAATGGGGGAAACGGAAGGTACAATCAGAAGAAATCTTTCAGTTAAGGAAGAAGCAACCACTTTTTATGAAGAAAGTAGAAGTTTGCAGCAGGATCGCCACTGGCTTCTATTCTGAGCCCATATCTGATAACGTCTCTAGTCACTGTGTTACACCATCTCTCGGACCCCAGCCAGGGAGTCGTGAAGGACCAACACAAGCCAGCCCTTTGCAGCTTTCTTTCATACCACGAGACCATGTCATATACTGACCACCTCTCCACTTTTTCCAACCAGTCCTAGAGTCGGCAAAAAATGCACGACGAGGAATTCTCTGGGACAACATTCGTAGAACATGTCCAAGCCACCGAAGTCGGTGTTTCAAGATGGTGACACCAATTGCATTGTCGTCTCTGTGCCCAAACACACGATGCTGAACCTCTGCATTGCTAACATGGTGTTGCCACTGGATGTCAGCAATCCTTCGGAGACAATGATGATCGAACACAGAGAATCGTCTAACGTACTCAACTCGGAGAGGCCAGGTTTCACAAGCATGGAGCAAAACTGCTCTCACCGACGCGTTGTAGATCCAACCTTTTACAGCCAGACTAACATCATGAAGGCGCCAAAGATGGCCCAGATTGGCATAAGCCACTCTGGCTTTCACTATACGTGCATTGATCTCATCACTCACACCACCACCAGCACTTATGCAGCTACCCAGATACACGAACTTCTCGACTACTTCTATCTGCTCACCATCCAGAGTGAGTACAGGATTAGAATCCTGCCAGTCTTGTAAAAGTGTTTCGCAATTCGAAGGTTCAAAGCACATACCATACCTACGGACATTGATTGCCAACTGATTAAGTGCGGATTGCATGGCTTGGGCATTATCGCACAGTAAGATAAAATCATCCGCATACTCAAGGTCGAGAAGTCTTTCTCCAGGCAACAGATCTACACCACCATTACCTACATCCATCAGAGCTGTTTCCAGAATGTCATCGATGGCAAAGTTGAAGAGGAATGGTGAGATTGGGCAACCCTGTCTAACCCCACTGCCTGAATGGAACAATGGAGAAAGGTGGTTGTATGCCCTCACTCTGCCTGAGGTGTTTGTGTATAGAGCTTTTAGGATGTTAATAAACTTCTCAGGCACACCCTTCTTCAATAGACAATCCCAGAGAACAGTTCTGTCCAACGAATCGAAGGCAGCCCTGATATCAAGAAACATTACGATTGTTGGCCTTTGATAAGTATGGCGGTGTTCTAACACTTGGCGGAGGGTGAAGATATGATCAATACATCCTCGACCGGAACGAAACCCAGCCTGCTCCTCGCGAGTCAATCTTTCTCGGGTTTTGAACAACCTACGAAGTATAACGGAAGCCAATAGCTTGGACGCAATCGGAAGTAGACTTATCCCCCGATAGTTGTTACAGGAACGGCGTGAACCATTTTTAAGATAGGGACAACTATCGACTTATTCCATGACGTTGGTACACACTCTAGTTCCCAGACCTTCGTCAGTCCCTTAATCAGAAAGTCATCACCATCTTTAAAAAGAGCCGGGGGTAAGTCGTCTGTGCCCGGTGATTTGTAACGTTTCAAGAGTTGGAGTTCCTTGCGGACTTCCGCCTCATTTGGTGGATCAGTCTTCACCGGCCATCGAGGGCAGGAAAGTCTGACCGATGTTGCCGGAGCAGCAGGCTAGTTGGACTATCCTTCGAAAAATTCTGCCCATCGTCCAAGACCTCGATGCATGTTAGTGATTGGCGTTCCGTCATCCTCGCAGAGTGTTTCGCTCACACCAGACTTCTTGCTGCCAGTGGCTCGGATGAGTTGGAAGAGCTTCCGGTAATTACCAGATGCACCTATATGTCATCCACTTTCGAAAGTCCTGGTTCATAGCCCTTAGTAGGTCATAATTACCGAAGTCTCGCACAAATGCGTCGGCCGAGAGCAAATTCTAACAGAACCGATTGCTTTCTAGCATGCAATCAGTCAGTCAGCTGCAACGTAGGACCAGGCACATGTATGCTTCGGTCCAAGTTGTCATACCGCATTAGCACAACAAGATGAACACCGGATTCATAGAAGTGGTAAATCAGTGGTGGTAATATATAAAAGAAAGATTGCATATAAGGAGATAGTACAGGAATAAAGAAAGATATGAAGCGATTTTAATCTCTTAGTTTAAAGGAAGACAGAGAGTGTATACACCTACGCCATTGTGATCGATTCTGAGCCATGTCACCAAGAGTCTCCAACCATTGGTTACGATAGTCACGCGGACCCTAACCAAGTAGTCTGCATCTACCGATATGGCTCAGACTAGAAGTTAGTGACTTCAAGCACCGACGCCACGTTTTGATTTGTCCGCCCCTAACTTTCTTCCAATCATCCCTAACACCGGTTAACATTGCGCGTCGTGGTAATCGGTGTTCAGGCATACGCAACACGTGGTCCAACCATCTCAGTCGATGAAGATTCATAACCTCATCAACTGACTTACCATCATTCCCTAATACCCTACGTCTAACCTCACTATTACTTACCCGGTGATCCCAGCATATACCCGCAATATTTCTAAGGCACCTGTAGTCAAATACTAGTAACTTACGAATATCTTCTACTCTTAAAGGCCATGTTTCGCAGCCGTATAGTAGAACGGAACGAACTGCCGCGCAGTATACTCGTCCCTTAATTGATAGACGGATATCTCGCCTTCGCCATAGATGACGTAAGTTGGCAAAGGCCAAACGAGCTTTTCGAATCCGTGCTGACATTTCGTCAGACACCAACCCATTAGGGCTGATCAGACTTCCAAGATAAGTGAAGTTGTCAACGCGTTCGATTACTTCACCCCCTATCCTTAGTTCAAGTGTTGACGCAGGCCAGTCCTGAAGCAACAATTTGCATTTAGAGGGAGAGAAGCGCATCCCAAACATCCTGGCATTGTTGCTCAGTGCTACCAAAAGACTCTGCATTTTGTCAGCGTCTTCACCAAACAGGACTATGTCATCTGCGTATTCTAAGTCAATAAGTAGACCTCCTGGTAGGATATCAATATCTGAGAATTCAGTCGATAAGAGCGTTATTTCCATCAGTAGATCTATGATGAAGTTAAACAAAAATGGAGAAAGCGGACAGCCTTGGCGCCTGACCGTTGTTGCTACCTTGACGTGGTGGTCGGGCTCGCCTATCGTGATGAACCAACTGAGCTATACTGGCTGGAACAACCGTTCCTCAAGGTCCTACCATGCCAGACAGGTCGGTTGAAGAGCGGTAAGACTAAAAGCAACAAAACCAAGGTCCGAAGGCGAAGTCGTACTGCTGACTGTACAGAGGTGTGACAGCAGTAAGGTGTTTTCTTCAGACAACCAGCATGACAGCGATGCTGCCTTCCCACAAGGAGGGGTGGGGTTAGAAAAGGTCGACCCTAAAAATGCACACCTCGCCTTATCCCACGGATATCCGTCTCCGGCGGTAAGGACTCAACAAGTACGGAGCTAACACAAAAATCACTCATAAAAAGGTCTTGTGTGACCGACCTCAAGCAGCTGTCCCTTGGGCACTGCGGTCACGCTCTCAGGTCACTATGACCAACTCTAATCCAATTTCCTTTTCAGGTACCTCCAGAAGAACCCTTCCACGGTGTGGGCAACCGGGAAGTGATAACCGTCCTCATACCTCTAACAGCACTCAAGACCACTGTATTCATAGTCAACCTCCCTCTTCAATTCCTATTATTCCTCCTACATCGACTTTATACACTAAACTTCCTCTTTTAGCTTCCTCCTCAAGTGTCACCACAGCCAACGATTCTAGTGCTCAAAACACTGTCCCAGGTCTACTGAAACCTCGCTCCAAACTATACATTGGAGCCTTCAACGTACGCACACTATGCCAAATCGGTCAGCAGGCTTCCTTGGCTAAAACCTTAGAATCTCGTACCATTGATGTATGCTGTGTCTCCGAAACACGCATACAGGATCCTAGTGTGGTTATTCACCTGACCTCACCTCGGCAAAACGGAGAGCCAACGAAATACACCCTCCGTGTATCTGGCGACCCGATGGCTAGTTCTCGTGGACTGGCAGGTGTAGGCATAGCACTTAGCATGAGGGCGGAACAAGCGCTATTAGAGTGGATCCCCGTTAACAGTCGTCTATGCGCTGTTCGGCTAAACGGCTCCGTAAGAACTCGGAAGGATTGGGACACACGTCGTTGCCTTTTCGTCGTTTCTGCCTACGCTCCCACTGACTGCAGTGCGGATGAAGTGAAAGATGAATTTTACAGAAAGCTGTCTGAACTTCTTCAGAAAGCTAAACGTTCAGACATAGTACTCGTAGGAGGTGACTTTAATGCCCAGGTAGGTAGCTTAAACAAAACAGAAAGACATTTAGGTGGGTATTTTAGTATTCCGGCACAGCGAACAGATAATGGTGATCGTCTGCTGCAACTGTGCTCAGACAATCGTTTATTTTTAGCAAACACAAATTTTAAGCATAAGGAGAGACATCGTCTAACATGGCGACCCCCTGCATCAAACCAACGATGGACTCAAATAGACCATATTGCCATCAGTCATCGTTGGAGAGGGTCAATAGAAGATTGTCGCTCATTCTGGGGTACCTGCTTGGACTCTGATCATGCCCTAGTACGAGCACGCATCTGCTTGCGCCTCACTGGACGCAAAAGAGCCACACAAAAAAGACTCATTAGAACCGAATTGAGTAATGAGAAAGCCAAAAGTAGGTTCCAGGAACAACTGAGGTCACACTTAGGTAGTTCTGAAAACGAGACTGACCCATATGTTGCTTGGAAAGTTATACAAGCATCTGTGGAAACAGCAGTGACATCTACCAGTGATTTAAACCAAATGGTTACAAAAAACCAATGGATTTCGTCAAGGTCTATTGCACTGATGGATTCTCGCAAACTCATCCCATCAGGTTTTGAATACGATGAAGAGCGTAAAGAAATCAAATCTAGATTAAGCAAAAGTCTAAGGAATGATCGTGAGCAGTGGTGGGCAACGAAAGCAAAAGAGATGGAAAAGGCGGCGGCTATAGGGAACACAAGACAACTCTACAGACTAATAAAAGAAACTGGAATTAATAAATGAAGTGTAAGTCAGACCATTTCGGAAAAAGACGACACTCTCATCTGCTCCCAGTCCAGACGCTTAGAACGATGGGCGGAACACTTTAAGGAGCAGTTTAGCTGGCCTTCAGCTACTCTACAACTACCCTCTATTCCCAGATAGTGTGAATGGAACATTGAAGTAGGTCCCCCAACTCTAGCTGAAGTTCAAAAGGCTATAGCTAATCTGAAACGAGGAAGGGCAGCTGGTCCAGATGGATTGGCCCCAGAGGTCTTTAAGGATGGTGGTCTAGTCTTAGCGATTAGGTTGACTAATATTTTAGCCAAAATCTGGGAGTTAGACGTTATCCCCTCTGACTGGTCACAATCACTTATCGTCCCAATATATAAGAAGGGGTCAAAATCATCCTGTGACAACCATAGAGGGATTAGTTTGACTAATATAGTATCTAAAATACTAGCTTCGATAATTATCGAACGCCTAACTAAGACTCGTGAACTGCAAACACGTGAAAATCAGGCTGGCTTCAGACCTGGTCGTGGCTGCATCGACCACATATTCACCATTCGTCAGGTCCTAGAACACAGGCATACTTATCGGCGTCCGACAATGGTGGTATTCCTTGACTTAAAAGCAGCGTTTGACTCTGTTGACCGAGAGGTTCTGTGGCAGTGTCTGTCATTGAAAGGCGTACCTCAGAAGTACATAAACCTTGTGAAGGCTCTTTACTCAAACACTACTAGTCGAGTCAGAGCTTATGGCGAACTGTCATCTGCTTTTGCAACCTCAAGTGGCGTCCGTCAATGCTGTCCACTTTCTCCTTTTTTGTTTAACTTCATCATAGACATCCTGATGGAAATAACGCTCTCATCGACTGACTTCTCGGGTATTGATCTCCTACCAGGAGGTCTACTTATTGACTTAGAATACGCAGATGACATAGTCCTGTTTGGTGAAGACGCTGATGAAATGCAGAGTCTTTTGGTAGCACTGAGCAACAATGCCAGGATGTTTGGGATGCGCTTCTCTCCCTCTAAATGCAAATTGTTGCTTCAGGACTGGCCTGCGTCAACACTTGAACTAAGGATAGGGGGTGAAGTAATCGAACGCGTTGACAACTTCACTTATCTTGGAAGTCTGATCAGCCCTAATGGGTTGGTGTCTGACGAAATGTCAGCACGGATTCGAAAAGCTCGTTTGGCCTTTGCCAACTTACGTCATCTATGGCGAAGGCGAGATATCCGTCTATCAATTAAGGGACGAGTATACTGCGCGGCAGTTCGTTCCGTTCTACTATACGGCTGCGAAACATGGCCTTTAAGAGTAGAAGATATTCGTAAGTTACTAGTATTTGACTACAGGTGCCTTAGAAATATTGCGGGTATATGCTGGGATCACCGGGTAAGTAATAGTGAGGTTAGACGTAGGGTATTAGGGAATGATGGTAAGTCAGTTGATGAGGTTATGAATCTTCATCGACTGAGATGGTTGGACCACGTGTTGCGTATGCCTGAACACCGATTACCACGACGCGCAATGTTAACCGGTGTTAGGGATGATTGGAAGAAAGTTAGGGGCGGACAAATCAAAACGTGGCGTCGGTGCTTGAAGTCACTAACTTCTAGTCTGAGCCATATCGGTAGATGCAGACTACTTGGTTAGGGTCCGCGTGACTATCGTAACCAATGGTTGGAGACTCTTGGTGACATGGCTCAGAATCGATCACAATGGCGTAGGTGTATACACTCTCTGTCTTCCTTTAAACTAAGAGATTAAAATCGCTTCATATCTTTCTTTATTCCTGTACTATCTCCTTATATGCAATCTTTCTTTTATATATTACCACCACTGATTTACCACTTCTATGAATCCGGTGTTCATCTTGTTGTGCTAATGCGGTATGGCAACTTGGACCGATGCATATACGTGCCTGGTCCTACGTTGCAGCTGACTGTCTGACAGCCTTGGCGGACGCCACTTGAGGTTGCAAAAGCAGATGACAGTTCGCCATAAGCTCTGACTCGACTAGTAGTGTTCGAGTAAAGAGCCTTCACAAGGTTTATGTACTTCTGAGGTACGCCTTTCAATGACACACTGCCACAGAACCTCTCGGTCAACAGAGTCAAACGCTGCTTTTAAGTCAAGAAAGACCACTATTGTCGGACGCCGATAAGTATGCCTGTGTTCTAGGACCTGACGAATGGTGAATATGTGGTCGATGCAGCCACGACCAGGTCTGAAGCCAGATCGATTCTCTCGTGTTTGCAGTTCACGAGTCTTAGTTAGGCGTTCGATAATTATCGAGGCTAGTATTTTAGATATTATATTAGTCAAACTAATCCGTCTATGGTTGTCACAGGATGATTTTGACCCCTTCTTATATATTGGGACAATCAGTAATTGTGACGTCCAACTCCTAGATTTTGGCTAAAATATTAGTCAACCTAGTCGCTAAAATTGAAGCACCATCCTTAAAGACCTCTGGATCCGATTCAACTGAATCAGCTGCCCTTCCTCGTTTTAGATTAACTGTAACCTTTTGAACTTCAGCTAGAGTCGGAGGACCTACTTTAGTGCCTAGCATGCAATACAGCGAATTCTACATGATACATTACTTCCCGACGCTACGACAGGTTAGAAAAAGCAGAGATGGTCAGTGTATGGTATGAAAGAAAGCTGTACGGGACTGAGATCTGTCGCTCCTTGAAGACCCTCTGGTTTGAGTTCGAAAGATACTGCAACACTGGTTTGAGACACTATCTAACATGGCTTACACCAGAAGCCAGTAGCGGCCCTGCTGCAACTTTCTTCATATAAGTGAGAGGAACTTCTTTAACCGAATCTTTTCTGGTTGTGTTTTTCATGACTGGACTTCTTTCCCAACTATGTTGTCTCGCTTTCATTCACTTGGTTTTATTCGTTTTTTGTTGGACATTTTAACAAAACCAATAAAATAATTGCTGACTGATACTTTGGAAAGAAAATGTTCGTTAAAATACTAAGTTACTTGTTTAAAATCACTATCTATGCTGATCTCTTAGTGATTAAAATACTCGAAAGTCACAAAACCTTACGAGTGATACCACTTATTCTTTATGAGATATGCTTTACTTAACGAATGCTTCTTATCTCCCTTACTCAAATGGCTTGCACTAACATTCTATCTTAAAATAGTTGTTTTGAATCTACGTTCCAAGTAACGCAAATGAATAATTAACTTACCTCTGTTAAGTTATTCAAGCATGCTACTATGTCTGGTGGTAAATTCTCAGGAAGAACTTTTGGTTTTCCAATGTCACATGATGACTTTGCAGTGAAGATAGAAGAGTCATTTCTATCATTTGGGTTCTCACGGCTCTCAATACCTTTCGCGTTACTATCTTGTTCATAGGCTGTCGATGTGGACAAAACTTCATCAAATAGGGAGTCTAAATTACGCATTTGGTTTCGGGGTTCCGACAGAAATAACTTCGGCTTGAAAGCATTAGGAGTTGACAAGCGTTTGACGGCTTTATCCAAAAGCTCTCTAAGAAAATGTTATGAAACTTATGGTACTAACTTGGATTTATTTTTTTTCCTCATAACGTTTTGAGATGAATTAGTATTTGTCTATCGGATAATGGAATCAGTTTCATTTACACAAACCAATATCCTTGCACTCCAAGGAGCCTCGATTTTCGCACTCTGATCTTCAAGTCCTTCAACAGTGCCTTGATGTACAAAATATCCTCCAAACTTAGTAGAGATGTTCGGGGCCACAAACACATCAATCTACACATTACAATAGAAAATGTTAAGGGACCATACAGCTTCAGAATCATCGATAAATGAATCTTGTGTATCGTATCCATCTCCTGGGTCTAAAAAATCATCTATTCGAACTCGCTTGTGCTTTCCACTATTCTTCATAGTAACCATCGTCCCCTGAAATTAACAGTTACACTGATGATATTTTACTTACATATTTCTTCTCGAGTGCCTTAGCTAGGTCAGAAAGCCTTTTTTCTTCTGCAGCTTCATTGGATGCGAAAGGGTTATCTCCAGGTTTTTGATTATTATTTGATTCCTGATGTATTCAAAATAAAAACATGTTATTTTACTGAAAACAGAGTCTGTAGCTAGCGTCAGCACAACAGTACAACGCCCACGCTCAAGGTCAAACCCTGGCCAATAAGAACAGGCTGGGCAATAAGTACGCCGTAATGACAGTATATATCTTAGTTGGTCGAGAAAATACAAGAAGCAAAATAAAACCGATAAATACAAAGATAGTAGGAACAGTCAAACAGAACAACAAACTGATAATAAACATGTTACGTGATAGTACCAGGTGTTGTTGAAACAGCTCGAGATAAGAGCATTCATGGCAGCCCTCATCATCAGGTAATGATATCTCAAAAACTACCGTTTTTTCGTTTGCTTCGCTATGCATATTATCAAACACTAATCAGGGTTTTCTAGTCATATAGGTACGAGTGACGTGAAAAGGTTGACCAGACGATCAGCTGTAACACCACACCGGCTGGTTATCAATTGAAGGACGTATGCAAACTATTGTTTGACTAGTTAGCACTGAGCTGATGTTGCGCATCCATGACTATAGTCAATAGGTAGTAAAACCGTGGAAATTAAACTACATGTGAAAAAATTCCGGTATTTCTAGAAAATAGTGTGATTCTCGATATTCTTATGATTGTTTGGTAAAGTATCCATCAGTATTGCTGGTCTTAATGTGGATAGTGCAACTGAAGAACTAATACTGTCGGACACATCAAAGTAACGCAAATCAGATGATAGTTACAAATTGACTTTATTTAAGCAGATGACAAATATCTTAAAATGCTAGATTGTTCTGCTGATCTGACCTTGGACTAATCACAACAGTCGCACGCATTGATTTTACGCCGACCTATGATAAATGACAACCTGTTGGCAAACAGGCCGCTATACTTTTCTTGTTTATGTTTAACTAGCACGAATATCCACCTTCTACTCATGAACCGAACTACAACTATTATTTTGTTAGATTTCCTTTGCCATGTTTTCAGTGTTAGCAATGTATCGAACAACATGCATATTTACAGGAGTGTTCTAATCAGCAAATGAAAAATTTAAGCATTAAATGGTTTTTGAAGTCTACAGCTGTATGTGACATTTAGTTTTCTCTCTCGTCATCAGATTAATCGTAATAAGCTGGGCAATCTGATCTTAAATACCACCTAGTGTCAGCGACATCCAAGCTAATTACTGACAACTTTGAACTGAACTTCACTGTAGTAATATGCTTACTTCAATCATTCATGAAGAACCCGTGTTACCCCAGTATTTACTGATGTAAACAAAATTGTTCACTACTCAGTGAATACTCAACTGTAAATGCATCTTACTCCTATAAGAGGTCATCGGCGGTGAGAAAATTCCACTGATGACGTCTCAGACTGTGAAGCTAGGTAACATAGAGCCGATTCATCCAGGATCCATCAGCCCTCTCAAGACTACAGACACACCTTGTAATAAAGCATAAATGACACGAAACGTAAGTCCAGTGTTTTCAGTCAACTACTCCAAATCGCCCTGCATATCGAGGTCGAACGATTCTGTTCATTCCCTAAGTTGCGAAATCATATGGATGGTAAAATTAGACCAAATCCAGCAGTAATTATCGTGAATATTTATTGGAACAATTCATCTCTGTCCACCACAAATTTGATGCCCAGAAACATTATAACAAAGCTCCCAAACACTAATCTAAAAACATGAATGGTTTGCATCATATCCATCGCAAACTGAATGTGAGACTATCCGATAGCGTGCATATGACATGGCAGAAATATATTATTATGCCCAATTATTACGTTGCAAGTTTACAAAAGCAAGAACCAGAAACAAGTAAAAAATTGCAGGAAGAAAATACCTCAAGGACTTCACATTAATCCTCGAATTTTCTAGTCTCAATAGAGTTTGTGGTATCCGAAGAGTTCAGCAACGTGTCCGTTAAGTAAATAGTCGAAACCATCGTCATTCATCTAAGTTATAAATGAATCAGAAACTTCATTCTCAAAGACCCTGAGTCCGTAGCTGACTCATTACATTTCGGTTACAATTGCTCTCATGTGTTACATATCAACTGGAGTAATTGTTACTAGTTTACTGCTCTTAGAGACATTTTGGACTATTCTTTTCGTTTCGCTCCAAACAACACTTAAAGTCCGACTCGGTTATCAGACAACCTTACTTATGACCAATAAAGATAGGCAAAACAATGGTCAGTAATTGCTGTTTGTGACAAATGAACATATCCAACTAGCCACTACGGTTCGGCTAAATCAGCAAAACTCTCTTGAGTGGACGGAGTTTAGTCAAATACCTGTGCTCTGGCATTCTCGAATGAATTTTCATAGAAATCCTCTCGATACTGGGCACACTGACTCAGTGAAAGGTTTATGCAATTCATGTTACATCAAGTATTGCTGGTAGAATATCTAATGTACAAACAGGATCTGTTAATTTGTGACTTACCAGTAAAAGCAGTCCCATAAAATGCATACCCGCCAACCTAAAGAAATAGTAGATCTATCCCGCACCTTTTGATAATTGCACTGTAACCTGGAGGAAAGACCTCTGAACAAGTGCTTATTCTGTATATTGAACGAAAGTTCGCAAACCAGTGGCGGAAGAATTGGACCAACAAAGTCAATGAGCCTTATAATTAGTCCACTACTTCATTTCTGTTGGTTGTTTTTCCCAAGTTTTGCGACTAATTCAGATATTTTACATGTTAGTCCTTATAATTTGGCTTTGTTTGCCTCCCTGTCTATCCGTTCAAGTAAATCATATCCCATTATTATACTCGTCTATAAATATTCGAACCTGTTGATTAAGCAACACTCCAGGGAATTTGTTGCAGCTAATTTCAATGAAATCGAACATTGAGCTGCATCATGCAAATCTCAATAGATTTCACCGCAATACAACTTCCGGGTATGTTATTTTTCGTATTACCGTGATTTCAATACGATTTCTCTCAATTCTGATGCCAGAGTTGATACAAACCTAATTCAATTACACAAAAGTTTAATTCTAGCGTAACCCTAATACTACCATTATTTTAGTCTGGTGATGTCCATTCAAACTTAGTATACTTTAGTTGTAGATTATTACTGTATATCCCAGTTAATTCGGTAACTCAAATGTATATTTTCGAACATTTATACTTGAGTTTTTACTTGATCCACGTGTCCTCACTTATCAAGTTAAGCATGACGAACGAACCGTAGCCACAGTAAGCAAATTAAATCCTTTCAAACACCAAGGAATTTTATTCTCAGTGATTGGGATTCTACATGTCTTTGAGCGATGGAAGTGGTACGGTCTGAATCCGACCGATGTTTAAAGCTTCAAATTGAGTATTCAGCCATCTGATTGGGACTTTTCATTCTACTGATGCATTGTATTATGCACAGTAGGCCGGGCTAGGTTTTGAGACTTGACAGAAAGCATGCCTTATTTCTCCGGGGTTCATATACTAGAAAAACACTTATAACACCTGAACTTTATTGCGGTTGATCAATATGGATTCTGATACTATGTAGCTTTATTCTGCCGAAAGATAAAAGGATGGAAATTTTTAGTGAAAAAGTATCAACATAAATAAGTGAAAGTGCTTACATTTAAATTTCACAATACAACCCTCGCAGCTTGTAACGGAAAGAAAACGCTAAATATCCCTCAGCATTTCACCGGACATAATCGTCATTTATTTGTTTTCATTCCTTATCTTGTATTTCAACCTATATCCAGGTGTCTTCTAAGCCACAAATTATGTTCTTCTGTCTTTCTTGTAAGTGCTTTTGTTACTTGACCTTGGGTTAAGATTTGCTATTTATTGTTTAATCTAATGTTATTTGTTGTCAGACCATTGAAAATAAGGTCATTTTGACTAGAATCAAGGTCACGGCGTGTATGTCTGTTAACCTTTGACTCTATTTTTAATTGTTTGTTGGAACGCTTGCAGATAGATGATTAGTCTCATCTTGATGGGAATATTTTTATTGGTTCTCGGTACCTAACTGTTGTTTACCAAGCGTTATTTGCTGTTAGCACCGGTTTTATCGTTTAATGTATTTAGTACTGATATAATTGATCCTGATTTTCAAATAAAAACCGTACTAATTAAATAGACAGTTCGTGTTTTGCTATGATTTAATACGAGACAATCCCAAATGTTTCGTATATTAAACAGAAGAACGTAGTCTGTGTCAATCGGATAAACTATAATTCGTTAGTTCTGTGTTGAAACAGAATCTTGGTATTTTGATAGTCACAAAACTTTTTAAACTAAGTGTTGAAGACTTTTCATAAGGCATACTAAGCAACCAAACCTGAATAACAGAAGCTGTACCCGCGTGTTATTACGTTGAATCTTGCGATCAGTACTAACTACATATATTGTCCACCCCGGTTAATTTCTCATTTATTTGGATCAGCCTCTATTTAATATTACATGCAAACAGTTACGCGACATTTTCGAGCATAAAAGCTCTTTCTAATATTGTACTTTGTAAGCGAAATTTCAGCCGACGCATCTGAATTACAGATTGTGTAAAGTTTCACTCATGAGTGGGTCATGATCTTGCCTAATTTGTATGTTGACTCTGTCAGCCAACCCTGATTGTGTGCGAACCCGATGTCATAACCAGTTTGTGTTAGTTCTCAGATTACGAATAGAAGAAGGGTGAGATTAATAAACACAGGTATATTCTCCAAGATAAAAGCCTTTTCAATATTGACGTGTTCAATTCGATCTCAGTAATATATCTCAGAATGCGTATTCGTAAATATCACTGTTTTGTTATCACCTAATGACTGGATTACCTCTGATATTTGGACTTTCTTTAACCCGAGTAATCACAGGTAGTCTGACTATCACTGTTGTATCAGAACAATTATCCCTAAGAGCCTAGATGACAACTTCAGTATCAATCGATCTCAATCGTACTGGAATCATTCTCAATCACACCTGACTGTAAATCCACAACAATTCTCTGAGCCAGATTTACCATTCGAGCTGGTGAGTGGTGAAACTCTATGTAACAGACAGGATGTCTCTTTGTACACTTTTCAACGTTACAACTCCCGGTTGGCCTGCCTTCATTAGCTCACTATCATTGCCTGAGATAGACAAAGCAACTTCCCTTGGTTTTTGTTTGAGACCACTGTCTGCCAGCGTCAAATGACGTGATCACTAGAACATATATGGCCGAACTATCTTACCGGATAGATTGGAAGTGACTTATCTTCATGGTGTATCTCTTTTTAAGACGGTTCGTTAACTGTCAGAATTTACTAATAGCGAATCTGGCACGGAACTCCATAAACTCAGCGAGATCGGCAAATACTGGCTCTCCATCGACTTTTGTCATTTTATCAACC